TCAATACATGTAACTATCTCATAGAAACTTTGTGGGCATTACTGGAAAATAACCAACCTCCCCCAACTCCCCTTGTGCCCCGGCAATGGTAGTTCTTAGAAGGGATGCTGTAGCACAAGGAAGGTGGGGGAGACTTGGTCTGTGGGGCCTTGGTCCCTCTCCAGGAAAACGGCTCAAGTCCCAGCGGGTGCGTGAGCGCTGTGTTCCATGGGAATAGCATCTCTCTGCCATGCTGGCCTTCCTCTGCTGCTTCTGATCCACTTACATCCCTTCTCTCCATACCAGAGTCCTCAAGGAAGAGTTGCTGCTTTTCCTGAAAGGATTTGACTTGTTGGCGAGCATATGCATTTATCAGTAATATTGCGTGTTATCGTTTCATTTGTTATACACATAAAAGTCAGGTATATATTTCCCAAAATGCAAACTTGTTTGCTGCTGCTAAAAAAAATTATCATTCTTAGAGTAGTTTCCATTTTCTCTTAGGCAACATTTCCTTAAATGCTAATTTTTAAATAATAAAATTGAGAGGAAGTGTAATTATTTTTGCTTCAAAACTAGGCAGGGAATTGAAGGTATTTGACAACTTACATTTGTTTTATATAATGGATCATTCCTTGTCCTTCCAGATAGTTTTCCAAAAAAAGATAATAAATAGCACTTTTGTTGTTGCTAAGGTGTTATGTGGCTGTGTACCATTCATGAATATTTAAAGACAATTTCTTTTCAGTACAATGATATTTTGTTTCTGTATTAGTATGATCAATGTCACTAAATATTACCATTGAGAAGTCAAAATGTGTTTTATTTCGTAGCTTTGGCGAAAGGGATACATTACGCTAGTACTGCCAGTCAAGCGTTGCTGCATAAAGCAGCCCTGACCATATGCGTGTTCTTGAAAGACATGTACTGAATGTTTTTCCTTTTTCTGACTGGTTTTAGTACGGAAGTGTAGTAAGATCCTAAAGATTTTTCATATAATTTGTGAACACATACAGTGGCTTCCGGTGAATTTTCAAGTATGTCTGACAATAGAAACACTCACAATTTTAGGGATTTTACGAGCTGGTATCTTTCCATTTTAGAAAATTGGTGAAAGTTACTCGTATCACCATTTAAGCTTTTGGTACTTACGTTCCTTTTCTCTTTACTTACAGTTGTTGTACTGTACTGATTCATTACCATAATTAGTATTGTATTTTTTTGTCTGGTCTTAAGCAAAGGCACTGTTAATGGCTGAGAGTGGATACACATAATTTTGTAATATTCTGATTTATCTTCAGGAAAAGTACTAAAGCAAAAAGCTAACTACAGAATTTAATTGCGTCTTAAGTAATTTCACTGGATAAAATTGCTATATAGTAAAATATACTCTGCTAAAAAAGGTCAATCCTTGCTGCATTATCTTATAAATAGTGTACCGGAACCTGGAAATACCTTTATCTGGTGCTCTTTGGAGAATAGTCACAGAACTATGGAGGAACTCCTAGAGTTGCTTGCAAAAGCTTCAGGTGGAATAAAATTTACCCTGCTGTTATAGATGTGTGGCATTTATAAGCTGCTGTATTTAAAAGTGTTTGCGTTTCTGTAGTCATACTTTTGGAGAGATTTTGGAGATAAGTCTGCTCTGTCAGAAACTAACTTTGTATTAAGGGTACCCAAATTATAATAAATTCTAAAGAGACCTGGGGAGGAGTTAAATTCTGGTTTCCTGGGATGCTTTA